TCTTCACTCCGTTTCATTTCTTTTTAACCTAACCGTACAAGAATTAATTTTAAAAAAATTATTAAGTGATTTAAAAAAAAAGATTTATTAAGTGATTCTATTAACAAAAAATCACAATCCCCATGTTCTCCAATTACCGCAATTTCTTATCTGGAAGAAGGAAATCGGTCTCCCTGTTTCCAAACAAGCAGCAGTTCCAAACTTCCAAGTTCCAAGTTCCAACGCCGCGTTAGAGCAGTTAAGATTGGTGCTATAAATAGCCGACACAAAATCCGCATAAGCATTTCAGGTACAGATTTCATTTTGAGGGAGAGATAGATCTCAGTTTCTCTCCATTCACCCAACAACAGCTCGGGCTTTCCTTAGGCAAGTCTCTCTCTTTCTCTCCATATCTCAATACAATGTTCTTCAATCTACAATCTCTATGATGAATTTGTTTGAATCTTTCATTTTTCTCCTGAATTTCGCATTCATTTTCTCTGTGTTTCCTCCTGTTGTTTTCTCTGATCTGGGTGTTAGAACCTGGTAAAGTTGAATTTCTCGATCTTGATTAGGACCTTGGAGGTTTATGCATATGGGGTTGGGACTATATTAATCTGGGTGCATGCAATGTGTCTTCTTGGGCTTGATCTATTAGAGAGTCGGTTCCTTTGGTTTTGAATCAAGTTTTTTCTTAATCAGATTTGTGTAATTCTAATAGATTCTTCTTAAATTTGTATAATTTCTAAAAGGGTTCTTTTGATTTAGATAATTGTTTCCAAATTGAAATGATTTGAGATTGATCTAGAATTTTTTTTGTTGGCAGGCGTGAAACATGGGGCTGTCCTTCACAAAACTTTTCAGCCGTCTCTTTGCGAAGAAAGAGATGCGTATATTGATGGTGGGTCTTGATGCTGCTGGTAAAACTACAATTCTGTACAAGCTGAAGCTGGGAGAGATTGTCACCACTATTCCCACCATTGGTAAGAAAAATATCATTTGGTGATTTTTCTGTCATTACTGGCTGATTTATTTTATTTATTTACTTGTTGCTACTACCTTTCTGTTGTTTGTTTGTATGCTTCCTTTCTGATCCTAAAATTTTCATAATCATTGGTCAGGGTTCAATGTGGAGACTGTTGAATACAAGAACATTAGCTTTACTGTCTGGGATGTTGGTGGCCAGGACAAGGTATGTTGGTTTAATGTCTTAAGTGTTGTATCCACTGCAAAAGTATGGTTGCTATTTTTGTAGCTGATTTTCTTTGTTTTTCTTCATATAGATCCGACCTTTGTGGAGACACTACTTCCAAAACACACAGGGACTTATTTTTGTGGTTGATAGCAATGATCGAGACCGTGTGGTTGAAGCTAGGGATGAGTTGCACAGAATGTTGAATGAGGTATTGGGGAATAGAAAGATTGTTAAAATTGGTGCAAAAGAATTGTGAACAGCCTAATTGTTGAATTGTGAATGTTGTTTACTGGAGTTAATTGTATACTGAAAACTATATTGCTTGACATGTATTGGCAGGATGAGTTGCGGGATGCTGTTCTGCTCGTATTCGCAAACAAGCAAGATCTTCCAAATGCCATGAATGCTGCTGAGATAACTGACAAACTTGGCCTTCATTCTCTCCGTCAGCGCCACTGGTAAGATGAGTTATACCCTCTATAACTGTTTCTGCAAAACTCAGTGTGCACATTCTTGTGACACCTCATTTGCTTCATCTATTTGTATGTTACAGGTATATCCAGAGCACATGTGCTACTTCAGGTGAGGGGCTGTATGAGGGACTTGACTGGCTCTCAAACAACATTGCAAGCAAGGTAATCCAGTAGAGATTCTTTGAATGACATTCGATACTGCAGCTACCAATTGCAGCGTTTTGCCCTCCTCTTTTTTTAAATATTTTATTTTATTTTATTTTTTTCGCTTATCCTACAGTCCTACCTCTGTTTACCTCTGCTGATATTTTATTTTTTGTTATTGCAGTCATAGATGGCGGATTCAAGTTTCCAGTCTAAAGTAGTTCTAGCCCCTTTTGGAGTTCTGAATTTCAAACATTGTTTAATCTTTTCTTCTGTTTTACTGAATTTCTTGTTCCTTGCAAACATTGCTATTGGTTACTTGTAGCTTTAGAATAATTAAAAATGTTTCATTTTTCCCTGCTGGGATGCGATTCTCCCATCCAGTGTTTTGAGATGTTCTTTATCAGAGTGGAAACTGATGGTTATTCGTTTTTAAAATTTGTAATGTTGGATAAGCAATATAGAAATACTTAAGATGAATGCTTGTTTGAATCCCCATTTCTTCACCTCTACACTAATACCTGGCAAAATGTTTTTCTCAACACTGTGCCTTGAACTAAAGTCAGAGTACCTACTACTCTTCTAGGAGCACTGTAAGACAAGATGAATTGACAATATTTTTACATCATGCTTCAAAGAATTGAGTGAATGCCAAAAAAATTAAAATGCAAATAAATAGTTGCAGAACCATAAGACCAGTATGCTACAGCCACTACAGGCTACGGCAAATGTACACGAAGACTACTAGTCCCCTAAGGCATTTGATCTCTACAGTCTTCATATACTCCCGAAAGCAGATACTTCGTGTGGTCTTGTTAGACAATATGAGCCTATGACAGACTATCTTGTGTCAAGGACTCAAAGCCCACCGAGCTGACTGCCAACATAGCTAAAGTCGGACAGGCAAATGCGGAGTGTAACTTGCTATAAATAATTCCTATGATGTTTGTAAAAGGTTTTACTTCCGTGTCACGAGTTTGGATTTAAGTCCTGTATAGGTCATCTTCTTCCATGAGCACCTTGATCATCCTAGAAGAAATCAAACATAGCTAGGCCTTATGCCGGTTGTCTATCTCTCATCACCTCATTAAAGAATCAAGCAATGTGCTCGAATCCTGCATGCATAATTTGCCCTTGATTCTGTTACTCCGCTCTCCATGATTATGGTACTTGCTATAATTCTATCACATCCCTCAAACTTAAATTTTTTTTTTTTTGAACAAGTTGTCAAAGGGCGGGCTTGAAACCCACCCATAGAGAAGAGAAATGCACCTCAAGTTGGTAAGATATCATTTGGTCCGAAGGGCCAGGTGCCTCAAACTTAAAATTTTGCCGAAGCAAAACAAAGTAAAATAAATACTCCTTTCATTTATTTTTAGTATCTTTAGTGAATCTAATTTAATTTTTAAACTTTTAAATATAATTTTTTTAAAAAAAATTTAACATATTATATAAATAATAATTAAAATTTTTTTTTGTTTAAACAAAAATACTCAAGAAGAATTACATATAAGAGAAAAAAATTTAATTATTATCTATATATATTATAAAATTTTTATCTGAAATTCATATTATAAAAGTAAAAAAAATTAAATTAAATTTATTAAAATGAAGGGAGTACACATATAAAGATAAAAGTAAAAGTCTTTAACAAATCATTTTTATATATTGATTCATTAAATATATTTTAATCTTTTCAATATCTTCATGACATTTTAAATATCATATCGCCTTGATTTTTCTCAACCTTATATATAAATCATAGGCAAACTTTATTTCTAACTTTGTTCTCTATTATTAAAAAAAGTAATTATTTTTTAATTTATAGACTATATATTTTTATTATCATTGATGAGCTGAAGATCACTATAAATCAGGCTCTCACTAACTGTTATAAAATATGCACTCCACACATCACTTTTATATAACGCCGGCCGGAGACTAATTTAGCCAAGGCTGGAAATAATGGTCAACATAATTCCCGATAACTTAAAGACTTTCATATTTTCAGCGGCCAAAGGCGACTCAGCAATGGGATCATTCCTCCGGTAGATATTTTGGCAGTCAATAACTAAATTCGTTCCGTCTCTAATAGAGTTTATGCTGTCCCCATACGAGCGCTTGTCCGTAGAACTGAAAGCGTCTCTGAACTTCGCTAAGGCGCCTACGTAATCCGAGTTGCATACCGACATCCGCTGCTCTCCGACCGTATCGTTGATGCCTTTAAGAATGTCGGGAATCTTATCGACAGTTTCTTGAACTAGAATGGAAGTCAGGGAAATAGAGATCAAGGCAAGACCATGCATATCGCGGGCTCCATCGGTGCGCGGGTCGCTGCGCAAGATATTAACGCAAAAACCAGGGTCCTCAGTTTGCTTGCAGATGTCGTTTATCATGGTCTCGGTGACTGCATTGCAGCGGAGGAAGAGGACGGAGGAGGTGCAAAAAAACAAGGGGAAGGCAAGGAAGATGATGGATTTCGCTGCAGCCATATATCTGTACGAAATTACGAATTTTGTTAATGAAACCTTCGAAGGCTGAATGACAATTTTATAGTAATTTTGTAACGAAATTAAAGAAAGTTTACATATATATATATATATAACATCAATTAAAAGAAAGTTTTTTTTAATAAATATTTGAATCTAAGAATTTTTTTTTATTTAATGCAATTGAAGAGACGTTAATTTGGAGATGGAAAGAAATCTTTATGGGATTATTACAGCGCATTTCTTACTTTTTCAGTCCCACGATCAGGAATAAGTGCAAATCAATATCCACTTTTAAAATAAATTGAAATTTTAATATTAAATTAAATTATTTTATTTAATTAACATTTAATTTAAAA